GGTGTTCGGGGCTCTGACGGGGCTGGGGCTGCTGGCCGTGGGGCTGGTGCCGGTGGAAGGGAGCGAGGAGGCCTGGGGGGGCTCCCTGCTGGCCGCGGCCGGGGCCTACGGGCTGAGCGCAGGCAGCTACGCCCCGCTGGTGTTCGGAGTGCTCCCGGGGCTGGTGGGCATCGGAGGTGTGGTACAGGCCACGGGGCTGGTGATGCTGCTGATGAGCCTCGGGGGGCTTCTGGGCCCTCCGCTGTCAGGTAAGGGCCTGACTGAGCCAGCAGATCCCCACCCCCACCCCCATCCTGGGGTCCGAGGCCTCTGAATTCCTTCCCCCTTCCTCTCAGGCTTCCTCAGGGATGAGACGGGAGACTTCACGGCCTCCTTCCTCGTGTGTGGCTCCTTCGTCCTCTCAGGCAGCTCCATCTACCTGGGGCTGCCTGGGGCGCTGCCCTCCTGCAGTCCGGCCTCACCTCCAGCCACCCCTCCCCCTGAGAGGGGGGAGCTGCTCCCAGCTCCTCCGGGGGCCCTGCTGTCCCCAGGAGGCCCGCATGCCACCGCGGACACCTCCTGTTGACCATTTTCTTTTGGTTTGAGCCACTCCCTCAATAAAAAAATTTCCAATGTGTCTGCAAGCTCCAATTGTTAGCCCATCGAGGACGCTGAAAACTTGCTACTTAAGACATTCAAAAGGCCGCTGGGAAGGAACAGGATCCCACTAAGCCTGGGAGAGAGGCGGGTATCTGTCTGTCTAGTCAGTCCGTTTCTCTTTGCCCAAGTTGTTGCCATTATAACGGGGCGTCTTTGAGAAGTTGTCTGCCTGCCAGCTTCAATTTGTTTAAGGGAGAGGGAGGCTCATGGGTGCCATCTGCCCCATCCTCATTTCCTTGACTCAAAACTCTTCCCGTATCTCAACCTCATTCTATTGGCTGGCCTGCGGTGGATACAAGAATCCTCGACCCGGACGTAGGCTCTCTGAGCTTCAGCTCTCCCTACCAAACTACGCCTGCCCCCACCATTTCCCTCATTTCTCTTCTAAGTCACAGGGGCTAGTGGGAAAGAGGGAGGCCAGTTGGGCAAAAGGGAGGAACTGTGGTCCAGAGAGCAGAGTCCAGGGTTAAAATGCTTGGAGTCCCCAGAGCTCCTGGACACCTCCCCTCTATCCCTTAGCCATGACCCGACTCAACCAACCCAAGCATTTGGACTCCAGTTCTTTCTGAGTTTCTGATTATTATCCAGTTTTATCTCAAAGGGGCATCCCTCATCCCCAAACATCTGTCTTCAGAGAAGAAGCGTAGTAGGCAACACTAGAGATCGATCACTTATAAAACATAATAAGTCTCTTGGCCTTTGATTTTCACAGTTGATTCATGGCTCACTGGAGCAGGCTGAACTCTTGGATCCTGCAGAAGTGGTTGTGGAAGCCAAGAAGAGATAAGAGTCCTCAACAAAATACTAGGAGTTGGCACGCACACATCGCAGGAGCCCTGGGCAAGCTGTGGTGGAAGACAGACAGATCAAGATGCTGAAGGCACTGTGGTTCTCTGGGCACCAATATGGGGCAGAAGACCCGGAGCTGCCAATCTCTGGCTTTCCGGGTCTTTTTGGAGTTCAGTCCTCTCCCAGCCCTTCCTTCGCAGGGGGGCTTTGGTATCTGGTGCCTCTGTGCCAAGGTCCTGGGGCTTGGAGGTAGGAGCTGAGACGCAGAAGAAGTGGGGCAGCGTGATGAGAATTCCACTCCCTGCAAGAAGGAAGGCCCCGGCCACCACAAAAGAAGCTGTGTAGTTGCCTGTCACATCCCGGAGGTAGCCTACATCCAAGAGAGAAAAAGAACACACATGGGTGATCTGTTTCCTGGGACCGACGGCTCAGACATATTTTTGGGCGGAAGGAGGAAAATGATCTTTAATCTGCCATCTTGGAAAAGTTAGAACTGCCAAGGTAGGACCAGATGCACTTGACAACTCTGGTGTCCCAGGGGGCTTCAGAGGTCATGCCCATCACCTCCCTGCCTTCAGGAAGGCCCTCCATATCAGCCAGTGGGGATTTGGGGATCCAGATCGAGGCAGGCACACCTGTGTCTTTCTTTCCGGCAACTGTGGCCCTGTCATCTAATAGTCAGTCACTAGGGTCTGAAGGTTCTGGTATCTGAAGGCTGGAGAACTTTGACCACATGGCTCAGACATCTGAGCTGGGGCCAAATGGGCCAAGGGTAAGAGCAGGTCCAGACAAGTCTGAAAATCCAAGCGACAGGCATCCTACCAAGGGCTCCGCATAGCTCATTTGAGTTTTTCCACAGCCCCAATCTCTTTGTCTCATGGGCCCACTTCAGGGCTGCTAATGATTGGTTATTCAGACCATGTGGTATACCATACCATGTAAAGGGCAATATTTACATCCACTCTAATGTGAATAGTCCCCTCCCTGAATGGTATGACATGGCCATCTGGAAACCCCATCCCCCTTACCTGACAGAGGAGCCCCCAGCAGTCCCCCGATGCTCTCCACCATCTGCACCAGTCCCAGGCCACAGTATATCCTTCCAGTCCCCACCAGTTCAGGCAGCATGGAGAAGGCCAATGGGGTCAGGGCCCCTGATGTAAAGCCATAGGCCACGGCCAGAGCCACCAGGGGTGTGGGAGCCTGAGCCATGGGGAACAGGGCCAGTGACACCCCGGTCAGGGTGGTCCAGAGCATCAGGAGTCGTGCCACAGGCCCTGGGACTATATCCCCTAGCCACCCAGAAACCACACGCCCCACGAGGTCAGAAATAGCAATCACTGAGAGGAGGAAGGCAGCAGGCAGTGGATCCCAATCCAGGTCCTGGAGATGGGCCACCAGATGCACATAGGGAATGAAGTAGCCGGTGTTGATCAGGGTGAGGGCAACAGTGTAACGGAGGAAGGGGCCATGATGGAGGAGGGAGGCCAGTTGGGCCCCGGGGCCAGCCACAGCAGGGTCCTCACTGAGGGAGAGTGGGCGGAGGAGAGCACCACAGGCCACCAGATGGAGGGAGATGGCAGACACCAACAGTAGGGTGCCCCGCCAGGCATAGTAGCTGAGCAGCCATTGGAAGAGTGGGGCAAAAGCAAAGGAGGAGAGGCCCACACCAGTCAGTGCCAACCCCATGGCCAGGGATCGCAGGCGAGAGAAGTAACGAGACAGGCAGGCAAGTGTTGGTGTGAAGGTCAAGGCCCACCCAGAACCTATAAAACAAAATAATAATAATAATAGAGACAGAAAAAAGAAAAGATAAAGAAATGATGGCCCTAGCTGGTTTGGCTCAGTGGATAGAGCGTCGGCCTGCAGACTAAAGGGTCCCAGGTTCGATTCTAGCCAAGGGCACATGCCCGGGGTTGGGAGCTCGATCCCCAGTAGGGGGCCTGCAGGAGGCAGCCCATCAATAATTTTCAATCATTGATGTTTCTATCTCTCTCTCCCTCTCCCTTCCTCTCTGAAATCAATAAAAAAATATATTTTAAAAAATGGTGGTTTGGGGACTCTTTGGGAGTTCAGGGTGCCCAGTAATCCCAATACTGCCCAACAGCAGAAGGTAGCACAGGTCTGGTTACAATCCTGGCTTTGATACTATCTAGCTGTTTGACTTTACTGAATCTCCCAGCCTCAATCCCCTCATCTGCCAAATGGGGGTAATACACTTTATGGGACTGTAGAGACCTAGAGATAATGTTTTTAAAGTAACCTGCACAGAATTTTGGAGTTGCACCTAGGCCCTACTATTTCTGGCTGTGAGATCTTCATTTGCCAAGTTTCATAAGCTTCTGAAGCCTTGCTTCATCTGTAAATAGGGTAGAGAAGGCCATCACGAGAGACAACAAAGGTCACTACATAATACTAAAGGGATCGATCCAACAAGAGGCTATAACCCTGGAAAACATATGCACCCAATATAGGAGCACCTAAATGTATACAAAACTGTAAGCAGGATAGATACCTGTTTTACAGTCACGGTGCCTGCCACAACTATATACTATGTAATTCTTCCTTTTGCATTCCAGCCCCACTAGCTCCGGGCTTGCATACTATGGACTCATTATCTCTGAAAGTCTAAACCGCTCCACCAAGTTTATTAAATGAGTCATCCCTCTTGATTCCCTTCCGGGCACAGGTGTTATTCAAAACTTTCTCTCAGCGTCTCCTGAAGTGTTCTGGAAAGACTAGGAGGAAGGTGAGAGTCCAAAGACTCAGGCATTTGACTTTCCTGCCCTCCCCAGGGTCTCACCTGAGAGCAGCCCAATACTCAGGTACAGGTGGGTCAAGGAGGTAGCGAAGGAGGCCAGCAGCATCCCCAGCGCTGCCAAGATGCCCCCAGCCATCACCACTGGCCTTGGCCCGAACTTGGTGCTCAGGGCACTGCCCACGGGGCCTGGGGAGGAGGAAGGCGTTCTGTGAGAAGACTCCAGGCATCCTTCTCCGGCAACTCCCCCATCTCCCCGCTCCTCCCTCCCTGTCCCCGCATTCCCTCTCCCTCCCGAGGGTCTGGGGACACCGGCCCCAGGCGCAGCACTCACTCCCAAACTGCTGCACGGCGATGCCTATGGAGGCGATCCAGGAGACGCGCGCGGCCGGCTCGTCAAACGCCGCCACGAACTCCACGAAGAAGATGCTGAAGGAGCGGAGCACCCCGAACACCAGCGCAGATTGGAAGAAGGCCGAGAGCACCACCATCCACCCCCAGCCCCCGTCTGGGGGCTCGGTCCTGCGCGCCATGCGGGAGGTCACCGAGCTGCGGGTCCGAAAGCCCTGGGACCTCCACCTCCGCCCGCCCCCGGTCACGCGGGGGCAGGAGAGCGGGGCAGAGAGGAAGGTACTGACGAGGGCTCGCGAGCTGGCTGCAGAGAGGCTGCGTGTGCGCCTCCCCGCGGCGGGAGCGCTGGTGTCGGGAGAACCCGCCGGAGCTTGCCGGCCGGGTGATTAGCGCCCAGGGGCGTGGCTGCGCGGGCCGGGGGCGGAGAACCGAGGCCGGGGCGGGGGGTGGGGGGAGGGCTGGGGGCAGCGGTCCGTGGAGGAGCCCGGAAGCGGCGCGGGGTTCGCGCTCTTCCCTGGAGGCGCACCATTCTCCGGGCGGCTTCTCTATTGTATCGTCGCAAGGGGCAGCATCAGGCCGGCCTGGCCAAGGCCGACATCCTCGCTCGCGGGACTCCTGGGCGGAGCCAGGCGGGCAGGGCGGGCTTTCAGCTTTGCTGGGGTCGCGGCGGTGAGTGGGAGCATGCGTAAAGGGGGAGCTAGAGGAGGTCAGTGAGGTGGGCCCCCGGTGACGCAGGGACCTGCCCGGAGGCTGCTGCCGTCTCCGGTCCCCCCAGCAGGCCGGTTCGTCCAGATCTCAGCACCCAGGCCCGCATGTGAGGAGTGCAGAGGGGTTGGTGGGGGCGGTAAACTGGTTCAGGAGCGGAAAGCAATCCCTTGCCTCATGAGGAGCCCAGGAGTTGCAAGGCCTGGTGGCGAGCGTAGGGATTAGGCGATGAGATTAAAATAAAATGCTCCGAGCTAGTCGGGTCACTAGAATCTCGATCCCCCGGGTCCCTGAGGGGTTGCGGGACCCAAGGAGGAGACAAGGGGAATGGGTTGTTGGACTCCTGGCGTTCATTTCTGTAATGTCGCTTCTGTTCCCACCAACAGGAAACCTACAGGTCACAGAGACCAAAAATAACCGAGGAGAGGAAGGGCGAACCTGCCAGCATCAACTACCCTTTCTCCAGCGGGGCTAGAACACTTGCCTCTGCCCTTCTAGTAAAACCACTTCCTAACCACGGTTTTGCATCTCACGATCATCTACTAAACAGACAAGCCAGGACCACCGGAGCAATCTGCCCCTCCACCTCCTAGAGCACGAATGGCCCGGCTTCCCATTTCTTCACTGTAATTCAAGCCCCCAAGGACCCTCACCTTGAAACTTGGACTCAAGGATTTATACCGGACAAGTGGGGGATGGGAAAGGAGGGAGAGAGGCTGTGTAATTTAAAAAAGCATATTGAGCCTTATAGTTTTATATGTGGAAAATAAAAACAGTCCTACCCCCCAAAACTTTTTTTTTTTTTTTTGTAAGCAGAGTCAGAATTTTGGGTGGTGGGAGAATATGCCAATGACATAGAAATTGGCGTGAGGATATAACCTAGTTAAAGAGTGCAGCCTGTAGAATCATAGTTCGAACCTCAGCTCCATCACGTATTAACTTGGCCAACCAAGATACTGAGTCTCTTACTTGTTTTCCCCACATGTAAATTGGGGGTAATAATAGCACCTACTTTTTAGGGTTGTCAGGGGAGGTGAATTAGAAAACTTATGCACTAAAATGCTTAGTTGAGGGCCTGACACGTAGCAAGAATATTAGCTGGTCTCCTTTTCAACAGGGGATAAACTAGCGGGAGAAGAGAGGTTTTAGTTTCTAAGTTTCACTTTTTGCTTTTTAATAAAATAATCCAGGTCATGGGTTTTATAAAAGACCGAAAAACACAACCACAAACTGTAAAGGTTGGAAGCAGCTGCGGAGACCATGTTAATAGACTTATTTCACAGATGAGTAATTTAAGTCCAAAAGGAAGGTAACTTCTCAGAATTAGTGACCTCCTACCTTCTACCCACAGGGCAGAACAGAGCTGTGCACCCACCACACACACAGGACAGGGGACAGGGTGGGAGAGAAGCAAACGCTGGGCGATGGATAAATTCCAAGACACCATTGCTGGGGGAGGGGTGGAGTTGGCATGTTTCTAACCACACAGCCTTCTCACTGCTCCTCCAGCCCCTGTTGTCCTTGGGGGACCCAATCCCTACCCTTTTTTTTTTTGGTGATAGTGGTGCTAGGGGTGTCCCAGCACAGATGCATTCCCCTAGTGTCCTGGTATTATTAGTGGCTTCCTGGATTCTCCCTGCCGCCTCCACACTTCAGGCAGGAAGTGACTTCAGAGCAGCAGGATGCAGGTGGCTCCGGAGCACTTCATGAAGTCACTGGTTCCTGCACCATGAGCCAGAAGGAAAGGGCAGGGGAGGGGAGAACACGGGCCATTTGAAATGTCTGGTGGGATGGGCGCACAATCGCCAGATGGTCCCCAGGAGGGAAGAACCCGCTTTCCCCAGCTTTACGCAGTCCCCAGGCTCCCCAGGCAAGAACCCCAGGACACAGCAGGCAGCACAGAGAGGCTTCTTTATTCCATGATTCTGATCTTGCAAGATCTAACATCTCCACCCCTAGGCACTCTCCACCTGCCCATCCAGACTGCTAAAAAATAAAATAAAATAAAATAAAAACCATGGTTCCTCCTCGCATCTCTCTTCCGCTCTCTTCCTGCAAGTCTGCAGTGGGGAGTAAGAGGGTAAAGAGTAGCTTTCTCACCAGTTTCCAAATGACAACCACTAGTACTGACCTATCTTGGGGAAGCTCTACCCCACAAATTCAAAGCTCTTCTTCCTCTCTTCCCCATGCTCCATAACCAAATAGGCTCCATGGCAAAAGGGGTGGGACTGTAAGTCAAGGCTTCAGAGCATCGTCTAACATTCCAGACCTTCTGTCCAGTTAAGAGGCACCCCCATTCCTAACTTTCTACCTCCTTGACCTACACCAGAAACTGTACCCCTCAACCAGCCTCTAAATTCTACCTGGATACTTGGTCCACTAGAAGGTCCATCAGTCAGTCAGTCAATCTTTTAAATCTTCTAAACCTCTAACCCCAACAGTAATCCCAATCATAATCCCAAACTATATCAAACTCCAAATGGAACTCAGCCCCTTTACTCTCCCTGTGGAAGGTCCTAGTGCATTCACTGTTCCGGACAGGAATACAGTGATGGGAAGACCAGGTCACAGACCCAGCTTTTCTAAGATAAGAAAGTTACCAAGCACCTGTGGCTTCTAGAGGCAAAGAAGTTTCTGGAATCTGGACATTTGCCAGAACATGTCCAAAAACCCACTGAGAGAAGAAGGAGTTTGTCTCAGGTAGAGAGAACCCCAAGAGACATTCAAGCCCAGATGCCTTTGCATCAAAGGACTGGTCAAGATAAAGAGTTTAAGATGAAGAGTTTCATAACTCTCCCGTAGGTCATAACATTCTTAGAGGTGGGGCAGAGTCAGAAAAGGCGGCATCATCTCTAATGAGGAATTTCAGAACTCAGTGCTGACAACAGGCCCTAGTGGGAGGGTTGTGAGCTCCATCATGACAGACACAGCCGAAGCAAACCTAGGGGAGCAGGTGAATGGGACAGTTAGGTGTCTAAGAAAAAGCCTCTCCAACCATCCCCCCAGTTCCAAGACTGACAAAGCCCCACACCCACAGCCCTCAGGAGGCATTTATTACCTGCATTTCAGGCTCACCTTAAAGGTCCCATAGCCCTTGCAGAACAGAGAAACGTCTATCCAGTTCTAGCCTGCTAGAGAACCTAGAATATCCAGAATCCAGAGAGGGTTCCTGACCCAGTTCCACAAACCCACATGTTCCCAGAGCTGCCCTCGGACAAATAGAGGTTCCAGACCTAGAATCGGAGGGGCAGGACACAGAGAACCCCTTTCTCCATTTTAAACAAACCAACAAGCAAAAAAATAGGAGAAAGAGCAATTCTAAAGTTAGAAGTTATGGCAACAATAACATAAAACACTCAAGCCAAGTGCTAATCTCTGCCAGCAGAGCTGTGACCTCACATTCTGTGTCTCAGGTCACCGATCACACTAGGAAGAGGGAGCTAGGAAATGCAATAGAATGAAGGCCCGGGTGCCACCCAAAGGCCTCAATAAATTATATTTACAGATAAACTGAATGAGATGGGGATTGCAGGTAGAGGACTGTTCCCTTACGAAAACCAGGCCTCCAGCCTTTTCCCTCCCCAGTTCCTAGCTTGCTCTCTCCTCAGAAACAATTGATTGTGGGGAAGAGGTTTTGACCAGCAAAACAGAGGCAGATCGAATCCTGATCTGCCACCCCTGCTCTCCCCAGTGAGAAATGAAGGTGGAGGCAGTTTCTGAGAACGGAGGGGCCTTGCACACCTCCATGCCCAAATCTGACAGAGAAGCCAGGGGTGGGCCAGCAGCTTCCCTGGCTTCCAGAAAGTGACTGGGGCCGGGCTGTTGCTCGGCTAGGGCCCCCCCAGAATGTGGTAGTGCACTTTGGTGTTGGTAGCAGCTCCGTGTTTCTGGCGCAGATGCAGCCGCAGTTGACTCTTGTGCCGGAAATGCAGGCCACAGGGGTCGCACTGTGGAGTGGGGAGAGCCGGTCAGGTCCCCCTCCCCATCATCCGCAAGCACCTTTTAGGTGCTGAGCGAGAGAGAACTGTTAGCTCTCAGGCCAAGAGAAACTCTTCAGTCCTCATCCTCCCAAATCCTCAGGGTGAGGCCAAGGAGATGGCTCCCCCTCTTCGGCAAAGGATTTTCCGTCCCTTAGTTCCTCTTCAGGAGCCAGTGTCCAGCCTAGGAGTCTAACTTCCGTACCTGCCCATCCCTACCCCCGCCTTCGCCCCTTCCTCACATGCTACCCTAGGCCCCACCCCTTGCACACAGGGTCTCTCCCAGGACTCCGCCCAGTTGGAAGAGTTCTAGGGCCCGCTGGGCCCTGCTCCTCTTGTTAATCTTGGAGCCCAGCCCCTAGGCCAGTGATGGCGAACCTATGACATGTGTGTCAGAGGTGGCACGCGAACTCATTTTTTTGATTGATTTTTCTTTGTTAAATGGCATTTAAATATATAAAATAAATATCAAAAATATAAGTCTGTTTTACTATGGTTGCAAATATCAAAAAATTTCCATATGTGAAACGGTACCAGAGTTAAGTTAGGGTTTTTCAAAATGCTGACACGCTGAGCTCAAAAGGTTCGCCATCACTGCTAGGCCCTAGGGAAACAGGAAGTAAGTGGTGTAAGGCTTTGGGCCAGGTACTCACGTGGTAAGGCTTCTCCCCCGTGTGGATGCGAACGTGGCTTTTGAGGGTCTGTAGGTGCCGGAAGCGAGTCCCGCACGTGGGGCAAGGATAGGGCTTCTCCCCGGTGTGGATCAGCACGTGCGCGCGCAGATGTGCTACCTGGGAGGGGAGGTGACCTCAGAATAGGCCTCTGGGAAAGATAGAAAGAACCCTCCCCAGAGGGCCCCCACTGTCCTCTTGCAAAGTTGTTCTTAAGCCAGTTCTGAGGCCGGCTCTGTACCTGTACAAAGCGGGAGCCACACGTCTCACACTTATAGGGCTTCTCTCCCGAATGGATGCGGCTGTGCGTTTTCAGGTTAGCCGGCCGGTTAAAGCGGGCCCCGCAGATGGAGCAGTGGTAGGGCTTTTCCCCTGGAGGCAGGGAGAAGGAGAGGTCGGGGACTCCGCCCTAGGACACCTGTGGGCAGGAAGGCCAGGGGCCTCTCCTCTCTGTTCCTCCCCTACCTGTGTGCACCGTGCGGTGACTGGCCAGGTTGCCCTTGTAGCGGAAGGCAGACCGGCAGAGCTGACACTTGTAGGGCTTGTCCTCATCCCCAGGAGCCAGGGGGTCCAGCCCCGATGAGCACCCAGCCACAGCTTCACAGTTCTGGCAGCTGAAAAATTCACTTCCTGGGAAGGGGGGGTGGAGGTGGGGATGGGTAATGACAACAACATCAGGGAATTCTCAAACCACACAGTAATAGGTTTTCTTTTTCCCAATTTACTGTAAGACTTCTGGGGCTCATTTGACTTGCTCGAGGTCACAGGGTTAGCAAGAGGGGAAGCCAAGATCTGGCTCCATGTCTGCCTGTCTCCAGGGTACTCTGCTAATCTCCCCTCAATAGCAGTGATAGTCGGTGGAGGCCCGTACTAGTAGATAGAGGTTTCTCTTTCTCTCTCTGTACTGGCACTGCTGGATGACACCTTGCCAGAACGGCCCTGCCGAGCTCTGGGCTGGCCACTCAGCCCTGGATGGGAATAGGCCAGAAGTTCCCAAACACTACTCCTCATTGGAAGCTTTGAAAATACAGATGTCTGGTTCCCACGTCTACACATTTTGATGTATGGGGTGTGACCGGGACAATGGGATTTTTAAAAGCTCTGTAGGTGATTCTAATTTGCAGTATGTAATTGGAATAGGTCTTTTCCCGAGGACTTTTGGCCCCAACTGGCTTTGAGCGGCCACAAGGACAAAAGCCCAGAAGGAAATAAAAGGAGGAGCTCTCACCTGGTGGTGGACGAGACCGCCCGCAGGGAGATGATGCAGTGGCTTCTTGGGCCCGGGGTGTGAGATGGGGGGGATTGGCTGGAGCCCCACATTTGAACTGTACAGCAGTTGGAGAGAGCCTAGGTAGAGTAAAGGTTAGGAGAGATTACGTGGCAGGGAGCTTCTCTGCTAGAGAACTTCCCGGCTAGTGTCCCTGGAACCCACCCACTCACTCCCTGCTCCTGACGCCCAGGCCCATGGCTCTCTGCCTCCTAGCTGAGGCTAGCCACGACGAATTCTTGTGGTTCCAATTTCTGTACCTGCTCTGGGGACCGGGAATGGGTCCTTCTTCGCTGCCACTGCTGCTGCTGGAAGCCTCATCTCCACTGGGGAGCCCAGCTTGGGGGCAAAGTTGACCAGAACTCCTCTCCCCAACCAGGCTCCCTGCTTGGGAGGCCTGAGAGTTTAGCACGATGAACTTGTATTTTTTCCAGTTGCAGGCCTTGGGGTCGGGGCTGCCTGGACTGGGGAGGCCTTGACTGCAGCTGCGAGACTCAGTAGGTGGGTCTGGGTGCCCTTCGGAGCACCTGGGACTGCCTGGTGGACGGGCCGTTGGGGGCGTGGGGGGCTCTGCCTCCAGGGGCCGCAGGGAGATGCCCAGAGGTTCGTAGCTGGGAAAAGTGCGGTGGACATTAGTGCTATCTTCTAATCTTGGCTTCTGCCCCTCACACCTGGGGTCCCAACCACCTCCTCCACGGAGAACACCGAGTGGGCTGCTCACCTGGCCTGAATGAAGCGGTGGCACGCCTGGACCACATGATCCATCTGCAAATAGGTGGCAGCCGCGAGAACGGCTGGTGCGGTGGCCGGAGAGAGGCGCAGGCGCGACGTGTACATAAAGTCCAGAAGAGGAGCGAAGCCTCCGGCTTCGGGGCCCCCGGGCAGGGAGAGCACATCCACCCCGACTCCTGCACGGCCTCGGAAGATTGAGTAGAAGAAGCCGCTGGGGAAAGGGCAGATCAGTCATGTTCGGGGGCCAGGGAACCACTACAGAAAGCCACGCCCCGTAGAGAGTCCCGCCCCCTCCCCTGTCGCCCCGCCCCCTCCCCTGTCGCCCCGCCCCCTCCCCTGTCGCCCCGCCCCCAATTCCAGGACGCCCCGCCCCCTGCTTCTGGCGGGCTTGGCTCCCGATTTCCTCCCCAAGACCTGATGCCTCCGCCCCTTCCCCATTGGGTCCCATTGCATCCCCAGAGGCTCCCCTCGAACCTGCAGGCGATGAGCACCGCCTTGTGGGCTCGAAGGGGTTGCCCGCCAACCAGCAGCGTGACGTCGGTGAGGATCCCGCGCAGGCGCAGCTCGTTGAGGTTGCCGAGCACGTCGGAGGAGTGGCGCGTGAACTCGCGGACGTAGCCCAGCGCCCGCTCCGGGGCCGCGGCGGATCCCATCGCGGCCAGGCCTGCGGGAGCCGGGGCATCCAGGCGGCCCTAAGGCGCCCTCCCTCCCTCCTTCCCTCCCTCCCTCCCGCGGTTGGCCTCCTCCTCCGGAGGCTCACCTCGCGCCAAGCCCCCGGCCCCGCTTAATTCATCCCGTGCCTTCTGCCCGCGGCCACACCATTGGCTCGCGTCGCTCCTCTACACTTGAAGGTGCCCACGGGGTCGATGGCGAGCGTGGGGACCCCGGCGCGCCACGCCCCTGGTTGGACGCCTCGTGCCCTTCCAGCGCCCCCCCCCCCCATTCCCCACTCCCCTCCCCTCGGCTTCTCCGCGCCCGCGGTCTCAGGTGCTCACCCTGCCTGACACCCCCCAGGCGCTTTGCGGTCCACACACCAAATCCCCTTCGAAGTCCCCTCCCTCGAACCACGAAGTCTACTACCGTCTAGTCCCGGGTCCCTGGCTTAGTCCACGTTTGGGGCCCCAGCCTCCCGACCATCAACATAAACCAGCCCTTTTCGTGGACCCTGAGTCCTTACCCCCGTCCTGCAGGGGCTGCCGCTCCTCTTCTCCGGGGGGTGGGGCCGCGCTCCCCTTTTGGCCTCGGCTCCTTTATCTGGCCGGGATGTCGGGGGCGGGGGGTGGAGGTGGGGTGAACGCCTGGGTCCGTATCCTTCCTTCCTCCGTCGCCCTCCAGATGGCGAGCCCGGGGCGGGGTCTCCGGCTCCAGGGCGGGCCTCGGAGGCACGGGGTGGTCGTCACCTAAGGGGTCTTGGGTCACCGAGGACGGGGCGTTCGAACTGGGGAGAGGGCTGGCGATCTCGGGAGTGGACGTAGGGGTGACTGGGTTGTGGGGGTAGGGGAGCTGGCACCGCGAAGGTGGGTGGGTGGGCTTTTGGAAGAAGGGGTGCCAGGAGCCTGTCACAGGAGCGTGGACACAGCGAGGCCCCCTGTCTAGGGTACGGTTCCGGGGCGTAAAGGACCGTCCCACGAGGCGCCAGGTTTGGGGAGGCGAGAGCGGGGTCCCAGACGGCGGAGGGGGGGTGTGGATGACGTGTTCCTCCAGCGGGCCTACCCACGGGGGCACTCGGGCCGGGCGGGGTAGGGAAAGGGCGGATATGATTTCTAGTGCGTTTCCTTCCATTGTCCTGCGACCGGACGGCTCCTCCAGCTGCTTCCCCTCGAGGAGGTGGGGAAAGTCCCGGGTGGGCGCCGAGAGGCGCTCAGGAGACCCAGGCGTCCGGACTCTCGCTCCCGACTCCCTTCGGAACCCTTTTAGGGACCCGGGGAGAGAGAGGCTCCCGCCCCAAGCCCGCGCGCCCGCCCCAGCCCCAGCCCGCTAGGGCCGCGGGCACCGGCCGGTCGGCTCCGCTGGAGGCTGGCGCCGGGTGCAGCGCGGCAGGCGGCAGAGCTCTCGGGCGCGCAATGCTCGGCTCCTTCCACGAGGGGGCGGGCGCGCACTGGCTTCGCCTCGCTGGTCCGTCTGCACCCGGCTTGGGGTGCGGGGGGGTGCGGGGGGGGTCCACTCTGACAGGGGCTCAGGACCAGTTCCGTCTGAACGGCGGGAACCTTCGACCTCGTCCCCTTTGCGCTGGTTTATTTTGTCCTTCTGTCTCCTAGGAGGGAGCGAGGAAGGGTTGGACAGAGGGAGGGAGAGTTAGGCGACAGAAGTGACTTTCCTCCGAGGCTGGGGTTCCTACCCGGGGTGAGAAATCCGACGGCTTTGGGAGCAAGGGAAATGGGTGGGACAAGGAGTGTGTGTGGGCGGGGGGGATGGCTGGGGGGGGGGGGCGGGTCTGAGCCCCGGGAGCACAGGGGTTTCCTTTCTAATTAGATGCTATAATCTGCCTTCGAGGTGAGTTTTTAGTGCACATGCATATGAGAGGTGGATAGGGTAAACAAAGAGAAGGGAACACAGGGCCGTCCCAGGTGAAAGAAGAGAAGGCAGGAGGGGCCTGATAACTAATTTTAAGTCCCTGACCTGAGAGACAGCACAGATGAAACCCTCCTATTTTGTTTGAGGAGATGTTGGTTTGCAGGCGACAAGGTTCACTTGGAGAAGGGAAACCAGCTGCAAAGCAGGACTTGGATTTGGGCTCAGGAGTCTCCCATCGCCCAGGAAATTGCATATCCAGGCCTGGGGCCCTTCCCTTCAGATGTGAGGGTATTTGGAGGGGGGGGGCGGGGGGCATGCACGGAACTGTGGAAACACTGGGAATGGGGATCACTAAGGACTGGGGACCATCTGGTGGCTTTTGATGTGATGGTTACTTTGATCTCTGACCCGTGCGGAGGTGGGAGTTGGTTAGGGGCTCCCTTTGGTATCAGGATGGAGTTGAGTTGGTTTTATCTGGCCAGTTGTGGGATGCATGCTTATTATGGGGTGTTGAGTTAGTTTGATTATTCTAGGCACTTTAAGCTGCATTCAGGCTTGAGGGCAAATGGTACATTGGAGGAATGAAGCTGATTTTGAAGCTGCTTTAGTTCTGGAAGTTCTGACACCCACAATTTGGAGATTGTCGTCTTGGAATATCAGAACCTGCTAGGCCAGCGGTTCTCAACCTGTGGGTCGCGACCCCTTTGGGGGTCGAACAACCCTTTCACAGGGGTCGCCTAAGACCATTGGAAAACACATATATAATTACATATTGTTTTTGTGATTAATCACTATGCTTTAATTATGTTCAATTTGTAACAATGAAATTGGGGGTCACCACAACTTGAGGAACTGTATTAAAGGGTCGCGGCATTCAGAAGGTTGAGAACCACTGTGCTAGGCGTTCTTGGGGAAGTGAGTGAGGGTTTTGTTTCAGGGATGTATAGTCATTGGTGTATACGGATGATCTGATTTCATGCTGATTTGGGGGTGCATTATGTTTTGGGGTGCCACATAAGTTGCAAGGCTCAGAGTAGATTTCGGGGGGACATGAAATTCAATTTGGAGTCTTTTACTTTTTTGCGGTGGAACATAATGGAACCTGGGAGCATGTTTGAAGGCCTTCTATGGTTGTGGGTCCATGAGGGGGAGAAAAGCTATACATTTGAATGTTGTGGAAACTTACTTTGAGGAGGGGATATTCCTGTGTGTGCACAGATGGCCAAGGAGCTTTATCCAGGGGCAGAAACAAGTTGGGGGCTCAGGGTGGGAAATTAAAGTTTTGGGGTGTTCTTATTTGGGGGTGTTGGCAACTATTTGGGTGAAACTGAGGGATGGATCATAAGGTGAAATTGAATTAGGGGTGTTACTTAATGTGGAGCACATTTAGTTGTCCTTTGCTTATATATAGCTCCTTTGCACCCCAGATTCTAGAAATCTTTCTTTAGTGAACCCCAAATATGCCCAGGATTTGATGGGAGAAATTTGGGAAGGAATGCATTTCCTCTTATTTCTATGTGGTCCAAATAGGTCTGAGGGAGAAAAGGTGATTTTAGACTCCGAACCCCAATTTCTTAAGGGAGCACACCTCATTTTGGGAGAAGATGGAGAAAATGGGGTGTCTTGTGGTAAAGTGGACACCCCTGAATAGGTCAGTGCTGTTGGAACTGTGGCAAGGAGAGTGGTGGTTGGGTACAAGGAGGTGATTCTTATACCCTGATTTTCTAGATAAGAGCCCCAAACAGAAAGCCGAAGGAGAACTGGGAGTGTGGGTGAGATGGGGGGAGGGGTTCCCCACGGCAGCAGGGGCTAGGGGGCAAGCCAGGCCAGCTCTGCACGCCTGGGTCCCTGCTCTGTGCGGCTCTCCTCCCCCCTCTCCCTCCCACCGCCCACCCCCACAACCCAAGGGAAAAAAACTGCCTGTGCAACAGCAATGGCAGATTCCAATCCTCCAGGCTTTCCTGAACCACCACCGAGACCAGCCAGGGGGGAGGGGAAGGGAGGATCGGGCTTTCCTGCTTCCCTAAGACTGGGGCTAGGAGCTTGACCTCCTGGCCCCTAGCCCTTCAAGGAGTGCCCCCCCGGTATGGAAGCCAGGTGTCCTGGACCCCAGCCCCCGAGCGGGGGGGCCTGGAGAGACCGGGAGGAGGAAGGAGGGAGTGACTTCCAAAATTGGCATCGGGACAGAGCAGGGCTGGCGGGAGGCAGGCGAAAGACAGAATTTTCCTGAAAAAACGGGGCTATCTGAGGACCCCAAATTTGGAGAGGTAGTCCAGGACCGTTCTGCCAACATCCTGGATTTTTTGGGGATTTTTTGGGGGCCCCGGGACCCCTCTAGATGGGGTGAGGAATGTAGTGTTGGGGGAATCTGACTGGGGCATTGCAGCTGCCTCTCCCGCCGAGTTGGACACGGATGGGCTGGGACGGGTTTGGGGGGGTGTCCCCAGTTCTGACTGGGAGTGGAGGAACCCCTTCCTCAGCTCGCTTATGGGGGTCCCCCCTCCCTAGGGCACTCCCCACTCCCTGAGCCAGCCGAGAGGAAGGAGGCCAGCGATGCGACTGGGGCGGCTCCTTTCTCCTGCACCCCAAATGTGAGGGATGCACCCCAAATTTTGCTCCCTTCAAAATAGGGGACCAGGATCTCAGGGGAGAGTAGCTGAGGTAAGTGGGGAGGAAAGTGTCCCCTGTTTTCAGGAGAGACGTGGCGGTTGGGGGGGGGGAGGTTTGGAGGTGCGTGCTGGGGTGGGGTTGGGCTTTGTCAGTCTTGGAACTGGGGGGGTAATTGGAGAGGTTTTCTCTTATGGCCCTAAAGTGTAGTCCCCCAGGTGGAAACCAAAGGCTGAGACCAGAGGGCGCCCCAACATCCCCAGCCGTTAGTAAAGTGTTTGATTTCTGTTTCACCCCCACAAAAGCTCTGCCAAGGATGGGAGCTGGGGGCAGCTGTTCAGTTGAGGGACTCTGGGGGGTAGGATGAGGAGCAGGAGGCCGTGGCAAGATTTGATGCAGGAGAGATAGGGGTGTCAGAGGGGTCTGGCACCCCCAGGGCCTAAAAAGCCTGCGTACACCTACCATCTTAGATCTTTTTTATTGCTAAGAGTTTTGGGGGGTGTGTCGAAAGGTAGGGTGGTGAAGGGTGGGCTGGGAGATGGAAGGGTAACTTTGGGGTTTTAGAGGACATTGTTTTGATTTGCAGGAGGGATTTTGCCCCTTGGATGTTGATTTCTGGGGTGTGCTTTTAAGAAATCAAATACTGGACAGGAGAGAAGGGCTGCGGGAAGGCCTCGGGTGGGGGTGGGGAGGCCGTCTCGGCTGAAACGTGGCTTTCTGGGGTGGGCCCACTCCTGAGCCTGGCGGGCGGGGGGTGGGGGCTGTTGCGCTGGGTGGACTTGGGTCCTGGGGGGCCATGGGGTGTGGAAGCAGAGCTGGGGGCTGGATACCTGGCCCCCAGGTCCAGATGGCCCCTTCCTGGCCCTGCTGCTCTCCTTCCCCCCCTACCCCCACCCCCGGCCTCCATTTCCTGCCTGTGGCCTCCATCTTGAGGCAGCCCAGGCCCAGGGCCACTTCCGGCCCCCCTCTGCCTGCCCCCCTCTCCCAGCCACGCTCTGGCCCCACCACCTCTGGATTGCCAACTCCAACCCTGCTGGCCTGGGCCTCCTGTCTCTCCTGGCTTTCTCTTGGGTTCTGACCCAGAGAGGGAGGATCGGACACAGGAAGCCTTGGGTCCCTGCCCTGTGACTCGGGAGTTTGTTGGCCCCCGTGTCATTCCCATTCCTCCGCCTCTGACCCCACCCTAGGGATCCCCGAGCAGTTTCTACAGAGGGAAGAGGGTTCCAGTCTTGTTATACTGAGACTCCCGTAGGCCCCTCTCCCTCCAGTTGCCTGCCCAGCTCCTCGCCCTGGTTTCGTTTCCCCCAACCATTCTTGGGGGCCATGTTTGCTGCCTTTGATACCTTCTCTCTCTCCCTGCTCTTGGTAGTAGGGTCTTCCCAGCACTGTCTCATTCTCCCCTCCTCTCAACCCACCCGTCCTGCTCCCGCCCCAGCAGCACACTGTGGTTTGTACGGCACTGTGGCCACGTCCAAACCACACTGTGGTGTTAGAGCGAGGGTGGGGGAGGCACCGCTGAGCCCGAGGCCACCCTGGAGAAGCGACACAGACATCTGGGGCCTTCCTGCGCGGTTGGGGGTGGGGGTCCGGGGAAGGGGGTTATGAAAGCACGGGAAACAACCCCTCTAAACTCCCCAGGGCA